CCCCCCTCCCTTAAATATTTAATGGTCCGTCCCTTAGAAGCATGGAATAGAATAAAAGTAGCCAAGCATTAAAGTTATGTATACGAGTGATTCACTCATGCACATAATTTGATTTGGGACTGATAAACAAACGTTAGCCAAATATGTCTATTCTCGGATAAGACAAACCAAAACGTTTTCAGTATCTTATTGTTAATTTTTTTTTCATATTTTATCTTAAAGGTAATGTTTTGAACGAAAGGGTCGTATAAAAGCTGACAGTAGTCAACCGGCAGTCACAGCGAGAAAATAATGTTAATTATTTTCATTATATCTGATAGTCTTGTATTTGGTTGCAAATACTTATCAATGTCACAGTTCTGACGTTTCGCACCATCTGCTGTCTGGCCTGTCTCGTAACGCTTTAATACTGTAATCTACTTCATATAATACATCAATCCTACCTTCGGCGTTAGCGGCAGTTACTAATGCATACCCACTTCCTTGATTGTAATCAATCCTCGTTATATTCGCTCCAAATCTTGGAGAAGAGAAATAGAGCTTCAAACGGTCTTTTGAAGCAGTTTTGTCTATTCCCGTCACTTCGATAATATAGGATCCGCGTTCGTCCATATTTTCTACGCTTATTTTGATGTGTGGCTACATATCTATACTAGTGTATGTCTATAAACCACGGAGAGCTATATGCTATAAACAGTGATTGTTTGATTCCAAGAAAACGCAGGCAGGCGGCCAGTACCTGCTTGCAGGCTGAAATTTATTTCATGCCAAGGGTCAAGAAAATTACAAAATAGCAATGGAATTATTACTACGAAGTTTGAAGGTGAAGTGATACGAGTAACACACTTACATCAACTTGCAACAAAAGCTGATTTCAACGAGTTTGGATTATTAAATTAAGATAAGTTAAACCGGTGCCGCTAAACGGAAAGGAAACCTGGGGCGAGTCTGTATATAGCAATTCGATATATGTTTTTTTGCTCTAGTGTTTTCGACTAACAAAAAATGTCATTTTTTGCTTCATTGAGAAGGCAGGGAAAGGTATGAGAACGTTTGTGAACTAAAAATTTGCATACAATCAAACTTTATGGATCGGAAATCCGTCTCGGATTCCGACGGAAAAGTCCAAAAATTCCCACTGTTGCGAATTCCGAGATGAACACTTATTTCCTAATATAAAGTATATGCTTTAAGAAGCAGTTTAAACGTATTTGGTTTTGAAGCTCTTTGAAATATTTACTTTCTGTGATTCCATTGTGCTGATCTTCACCCACCATAAATTACCCTGTAGTAAATTGGAGCAAGAGGGCAAGATATTTGTATGATTTCAAAACTGTCTATTTTTTTCTGAATTAGTACACTCTAATATTTTCACGGATATGCTTAAACAAACAGGATAGCAAAAACACGTAATTTGTAGCGCGGTATTCAGAGGCACCTGTTGGGACTATTGCACAGTATCGACTAAATGCGTACAAATCTCACTGCTTGCCAACAAGATGTGTTCGCACTGCTTGTTCCCAGTTGTCAACAAGTCTGGAACAAGTGATTATCATCTTGTAACAAGGTTGATGAGGCCAACAGACACGCATCAAGTCTGATATCGTCTGCACGCAACAAGTTGTTAACAAGTTGATGGCCTGTGTTAGTCTTGTTGGGACAACTTGTAGCAGGTCTGTTTTCATCAATAACCTTGCAAGAAGGTCAGCGACTAGTACTTGTTCCAGACTTGTGACAACAACTGGGGACAAGCAATGCGAACACATCCTGATATCGGCTTGGCAGGAACCTTAATTGTTACAACTTGTTTCCAGATCTGTAACAAATTGCGTTTTTACGTGGTGCCTTTTTAGGTATCAGCGCGAATTTTTTCATAACGAAAATACTTTGATTAGTGAAAAGAGTCATTTAGGGATATTCTGTTTCATACATTGCAGCAATACTCCAACAAGAATACATCGTAAAAATATTTTCACATTAGGTCAATTAAGGAGACTCAATTCATTGTAAGCCTTTGTTCATGTGATTATCAATTTATTAGTGCAGGTCTCCTGTCCAAGTCTGCCTCAGTGAACTCTATAAAAACTGGAAGGATAACTCCGGAATTCACTGAATTCAGTACGAAAAACACAGAATAATAGACTGCAGCTGCATCAATCTTAACTTTACATTTAATATTAGTATTACCTTACATTTACATTTACATTTAGTGTTACACAAAAAATGAGCATTTGTGTGGAAAAATTGAAAAACATCGATCGGAAAACCTTAGTCATTATTCAGTTCCTACGAAGCCCACGCGAAATACACACGTGTTTTATACCTACAAGAGATGGCTCTATAGGCCGTCATCTTGGCTTCACCCAATCATAGGGCAGTTTACCTGGAGTTATCATTCCAGTATTTATAAAGTTCACTGGTCTGCCTCTCAAAGGTTTTTTTATTTGGGAACATTAATTAAAAAGTGCAAAATTCTCCCCGCTTGCACTTAGAAATCCCAAAAATAAATCCTTCAAGAGGCAGACTTAGAGCAAGTCTATGGAAATAGCAAAAAAATTGAGTTTGTTGTATTTGAAAGAACTTTTAAAATGCTAAATGAAGACCTTTAACAACCGTTTCGTATTTTGCTTTCGAAATATTTCGACCAAAAACAGCGTGGTGGCTGCCATCTTGGTTCATGGTTCAATATGCATGATGTCATGTCACAAATAGGATTTTTTTATCTTTCCAACCATATTAATTATGCGCCGGACTCTTATTTCTTATCTCTAAAACCAAGAAATATTATAAAGGGCCATTTTAACAGTTTTTTCAAGTGAGACAAACTTAAATTTTATTGCCATTTTTCAACTTAAAGATTAATGGATTGAAGGCGATTTAAAGCTCGTTTTGCACCAAGAGTATAATGTTCGCGCGAAGCGAAAAACAAATTTGACAATAAAATATTATTAGCACTGATGAAGATCCAGGCTTACGGATCGAAAGCTTTGCAGTAATAAATTTACGTGGTGTTTCCACAAACAAAACTATTATATTCTATCGCCATGCAAAAATACAAAGAACTTATTAAATTTGACAATATGATTGTTTATAGCGATAGAATTTTTCGCGGCGAATTTTTTCCTTCCTGCAAACAAATTCGCCTTGTGTAAAACGAGCTGTGGGCGAAGTCCCAAAGCAGACCCAGCTTCCAGATGAAGGGTTTTCGCGCAAATCGTCAAAGTGTTTTCAATATTTTTCTGGTAGTTCATCAATCTCGTTAACATTATTCATCACTACCTATACTGCAACCCAACATTCAATATAGTACTAATAAAAATTACTAGATTATATCATAAAGACGTATTCGATATGGCAGCAGTTTATCATAATGTTATACAAAGAAAATAATTATGGGTTTATGCTACTCTAACGTAACTCTAACCAACGTGCTTCCACACTGTTTATTCTGTAATTCCTTTCGCTGCCAGTTCATCTTGAACTCTCCCCAGGTAATCTGGATCGGGATAACCAAAGCTGAAATGGAATATATAATACTTATTATACTACCTATTGTTAAATCTAACATTACATTATAAAAACAAAGTTCACTCAAGAACATTTTCAACCCTTTTTTTCTGTGGTCTGTATTTCCAATGAAAAGCGTTCATAATTTTTTTTTCTTTTGGTGGAATAAACGTGCTTTTTAGGTTCGTTTGCAGATTGAGAAGTGTATAAAAAATGAAAATTCTTAAAATGCAATATAACCAAGTTGCTTTGTACTCATTATAGTCGGGGTCTGCGCTAGACCTATTATAATAGGGGGTGTAAGAGAATTTTGCCGAGTCATTAAATTAAATTTTGCCGACTCCAGATTTTACCGACTAAGTATTTCTTTTCCCATCCCAAAATTGTTGGCGGGGGTGGGGGGGGGGGGGTAAAAATATAAATTAACATACATGCAGTACCATTCTTCCTTAATGTTTCATTTTCCCTTCATATGTTCGTAAATTTCTCCACATTTTAGGTATAATTATTATTTTTTAATCTGTTTCACTCTTTTTTCCCCTATCAAATTCACTGTTTTGCCGACTACCTGACAACTGAGGGGTTTACCACCCCCACCCGCTCTTCAGCGCCGCCCCTAATTTTAGTTTGGAGTTCGTGTTACGTGCACGTATAACATACAAATAAATATCCCCAAATAAATATCGTGAATATTTGTACACACAATTTTTGACTTACTCTGTAGGCCCTCCATATATTGAGGTTTTATGACGAATATCATTCCATATAACACAATCATCTCTTCCAGTTGTTGTTGACCGCCCGATTGTGAACGTCAATTTCTGATTGAATGCTTTCTTTAAAAGATTAAGAACTTTCTTTCCTTCTTGGTTGTTGGGTAGATAAGCAGTTCGGCTTGTTCCCTGGTATGGCTTTCCAGGATTAGGATGGTCTGCGCCTTGGGTCCCATTTGGAAACCGGTAAGATATAACAAGACTACCACTACAATTAAAACCAGGAAGAGGTATCGACAGATAAGCATCATACATAATTCCTTTCGGTTGGTTGCCTGTGAAGGGACCATACACCATGTAACAAATTGGGCATTGCTTCTTCACTTTAAATGCTTTGTTGATGCACTTGGTACAAAATGAATGGCCACATTTATCCAAAGATTTCTTTTTAGCAATTTCACTTAAACAAATGGAACATTCATCGTCTTTTGACGTTTTCTCATCAGCTCCAGGTTTTGGACCTGAAAATAAATCACTGTGTTAGATACATGTTGAGACACAGTAAACAAATAAATAGGATAATACATTGCCCTATTCTTGGGTTTCATATGACGTCACAGAAGTGACGGTGGGTCGACTCTAAAACAAAACACAGTTATCAGAATGAGTTGATTGTTCGTTTTATGTATTAGCCTTGTGTTTGGTGGCAAATACATGGAATTACGCATCATTTTTTCACTCCAGTAAAGCAGAAGCATCAATACATTTGAGGTTGGGCCCCCGTCAGATTCACTACAAAATGCCGTATTGAAACCCAAGAATTTCATATAATTCAGGTATTTTTCGAAAGTTGCAACAAATATTTTAAGCGTCGTAGTCCATTAGTCATTCTTATCACCACATATGATTATGTATATGTAGGTCCCGAGTCAGTGGCGGACACGAAGGTAACAAATAATTGTAACAAATAATTTACAGCCATGAAAACATTAATTGAATAGTTAATTGTGGAGCAAATTTGGTAAAACGTAAGGAAAGAACTGAGATTTCCAGAAACAAAAGGCGTAAATAAGGTGGCAAGCTAAATTTCCCCATCCGGCATATTTCTCGCCCGCGACTGTGTCCGCGACTGGTTAGAATTAGCCAGGTGATCCAGGCAACAGTTATATATATGCAGTCATAGCTTTTGATCAGGCCACTGTGGTTTTTCTAAACTGCAGGTATATTTTTGGTTTTCTATGACGTCACTTGGCGGTCAAGGGTCTTTTATATTGGCGTTTATAGTAGTCGGAGAACTCATTACTCACTGGGACACCTGTCCACAGGCGAGTATAGGTTTCGGCACGAAATAGAATATTAATTGCTGCTCAATTGTTACCCAGATTATCCATAAATAACCCTAATTGTTGAGGAAAATTCAAGCATTTTACCAAAAAAGTCAAAGCTGCTGTGTATTTTACCAGTATGAATAGGTTTACGTTCTTTTAATTAAAACTGTTTTTACGGCATTGTGGATTCAGCGATTAATGCAAAAAGATCTTGTTATGGTAAAACAGATAACTAATAGTCTGACAAAGACAGAAATACAAAGATATGCACAGGAACAAAATTGTGTGGATGATATTTTGATGTGATGTGATGTGTTGAACAGAAAACAATGAGGCCATGCAGGTGATAGAGTTGGAAGATTTATGTAATCTTGAATTCGCCTAGACCTGAGGGAAGAAAATTTTTGCACATAATTTTGCTATGAAACTTATGGTGGCAATTTTTAGAATAAGGCCAAAATGAAAGGTACTTGAAATTAAACCCTGATTTTTAAACATGAAAGTGATTTCAAACTACCTTTCAAAGGATTATAGATGTTCTACAGAACTTCTACTTCAGTTATTGAAATGCTTATGTGACTAACAAAATAAGGCCACCATTCCTTACATATTATGCACCTATCATCGGCCATCCCTGAGGGTACAACCCCGGGATACCCTCATGCTTCATTTCCTCTCGCTCCCCATGGGTATTCTTTGTACAAAACGCCTCTCCCCCAAGACAGGAGGACAACACAAGGATTTATTAAAATATCAATCCATCACTTCCGATGCTAAGAAGCATCTTGGAAAATTTAGTTCTGTTTCAGATGAAAAATATGAGAACACACAGCTATTTCAATTAAAGCCTGTTCTAAACGTCGCATTTTACATGCGCCGAATACATTCAAAACAATGGATAATGAGGCATTTCAGCTGATTATCTATTGTTTTGAATGCATTCGGCACATGTAAAATGCGACGTTTAGAACAGGCCTAAGGTTGTCCACGAGCAAAGCGGAAAAGTCGAATACGAGCGCGAAAGGCTGCTGGGAACCGCTTTGAAAATTCATTAATTTGTTAGCGATTCCCAGCAGCCTTTCGCGCTCGTATTCGACTTTTCCACTTTGCTCGTGGACAACCTTAATTGAAATAGCTATATAGCTATACTCAGGCATGAGATTGGAATTCCCAAAAACCATGTATACCTAGAAATAGTGGTCTGATAAAAGCAATTTAACTACCATTGGTGCTGTTTTACTATGAAATTAATTCGACGTAATTATTCACACGTTAAGTAAGCCAATAAAATAACACTTCAAGGTTCTACTTAATCATCAGTTTGCAACTGCTCCTTAATTATGACCAATTTTATATCACCGGGAAATTTCTCAGGATTCCAGCGAATCACACTACCCTTACTGGAAGATCTTAACTGTTAAGTGAGAAGTAAACATGAAAAAGTTAATGACTGTGCTCATTGATTTTGAAGACATGCCTTTGGTAAACTTTGGCTTTGGCCCTTAGCTTACATTCCCTAATACTCCTGCCTTATTAACCAAAAATACAATAAAACGTAATAGCATTTACTATTTGAAACAAAATTAGTCGCTGTGCGCTGAATTTCAAGGAATGCAACTTAAATGCAGGAGGCATGCCTTGAATACAGTAACAATGCTATAAAACATGGAGAAAACCTCAAAGCGCAGAGAACCAACCACAAATGATTGACCCCCACTTGAGTCAAATTATGCTAAAAATATCACGTAATTGAAACTCAAGAATAAAAACAGAAGCAATATTTTCTGTTTTTTAAAAACAAAATGGCTTACTATGATCTGTATCGGGTTTTTTCCCTGTGGCTGCTCCTGCATAGCTGAGAAGTGAACGCTTATCATCTGACAGACGTCCTCCTAAGTTTGGGAAATTGAAGATAGCAGAAAAAAGAAAAATACAATAATTAAGCTAAGGAGTGCGCCTAAATCCACATTTCATAAAAAATAAGCCATCACGAAGTTTCACGAATTATTGAGAATTACGAGGATATTTGTCGCCATGTCCGAATCAGATATAATGATGAACGGCTATTATTTTTCAAATTTATTTATTAACCCCCCCTCCATCACCACCGCGAGGAATGCACCCCCAACATACCTATATCTTTATTTTCACCACTGTGAAGGTTGTGACTGCTGCCCTTGAAGTTAGCATTTTTTGTCTGACCCCACTCAGAATTGTTTTCAGACTTGGTCGTTGTAAAAGCCATTTGTCGTCCAATCTGCATTTCTCTTTCTTGCTCTTTAGTATCTTTTGAGACACTCGCTTCGACCTTATCTCGCTTGATAGAACCGCGAAATCTATTCTCCATTTCTTGTACGAATGTGCGGTTTGTCGAAGATTCAGTGTTGACAAAGTGAATTTCCTCCAGAGGGCTAGACTTGTTCGCCTTACTTGCGAAATAAACAACCGCGTCGAACAGAACTCGTGCGCAAACATCCACAGGCACTTGATATAAACCTGAACTGATAGCTGGGATTGAGACACTTCTCGCACCATTATGACAAGCCAAGCTCAAGCTGTTGATTACAGCGTTATACAATAGTTGCATAGCTGTATATGGTGGATGATGATTCCAGACAGGACCAACTGCGTGAACAACAAACTTACAAGGAAGTCGCCCTCCAGCTGTTAACTCCACTTCTCCTGGCTGAAGAGGACGTTTACCTCTTTTCCTCATGATGTAATCACTTTCGTCTTGAATTGATTTTCCCCCAGCTTTAAGTATCGCCCCGGCTGCACCGCTTCCGTGTTGAAGGTGATCATTGGCTGGATTCACGATCGCATCAACAGTTTCTTTGGTTAAATCACCTTGGTAAACAACCAATTTCAGATTCTCGGATAAATCGGATGAAAACTTTTCAGTTAAAGCAACTTTTGCCGTTGCCTCTTTTGATGAACCGCTGTCAGGATTAAGAACACCAACTTTGCTTTGGAAGAATCTTTGGGCTTCTTAAACTTTATCTCTTTCACCGTAGATTGTTATTTTATCGGGATCCTGAGCTGAATCAACCACAAACTTGGTAGGAGCCTGTGAAAGAACGTCCTTTTTATCCTTTGGCAGCTTTTCGATATATTCGGAAGAACTTGTTTCTGGTGCCCCTTTGGAAGAACTTGCTTGAGTTGTCCCTTTGGAAGAACTTACTTCCGGTGCGCCTTTGGAATTATTTGCTTCTGTTGTCCCTTTGGAAGAATTAGTTTCTGTTGCTCCTTTGGAAGAAATTGTATCTGGTGCATCTTTGCAAAAACTTGCTTCTTTCACTCCTTTGGAAGAACTTGCTCCTGTTATTGTCCCTTTGGAAGTACTTGCTTCTTTTGTCCCTTTGGAAGAACTTGTTTCTGTTGTCCCTTTTGAAGAATTTGCTTCTGATGCGCCTTTTGAAGAACTTGATTCTGTTGTCGCTTTGGAAGAACTTGCTTCTTTTGCCCCTTTGGAAGAACTTGTTTCTGTTGTCCCTTCGGAAGAACTTACTTCTTTTGCCCCTTTGGAAGAACTTGTTTCTGTTGTCCCTGCGTCTTTATCAACCTCTTGAGGTTGTATCTTTATCATTGGGGAATATTTCAAGGAAAGGCTTCCTTTCTCGTTTTCAGCTCCACCTAAAAGAGGTGATGGACATAAATTACTTGCGGGCAATTTACTTAATACATTCTTTAGTATTTGTGTATATTTTATGTAATATATGAACAACGAGAGCGAGTGTTTCACCGGGATGTCCAATCACGAGAAAACAATGTCATACATTGAGTGTTTGGATATCCCGGTGAGACACGAGCTCGAGTTGTTTATATGGCTTTTCAAATGAATCGAGACGTAACAGAATGTTTTCGTTTGCTGATTTGAATAGTCTATCTAGCAGGATTTTTCCAACATAATCATATCACTTCAGTAATACTGGTATAATCTGGTTTTCATTTGGTCACGGGTGTCATGATGATTTTATTGTCGCTAACGTCGCCAAATCTAAACCAAGCTTATAATTATTAAAAGTTGTTCTGCAGCAGTGTAACTTACTATATGATTTAAATATTTTCTATTTAAAAATTGATTCATTCATTTTGTAAATCCCTTCTTAAGAATATTTAAATGTTTGACCTATTCCTGGTTCCTAAGCAGTATACTGGTCCTCCTTTCATCTCACCTATAAACTGTTTGCCAGCCCTTTCAAAATCTCTTTGTCTATTGGGTCATTGTTACTACAGGCTATGTAGCTCAATTTTGCAACGGGTATAGGTGCTTGGAAATACTCATCGCGTTTTGTTATTTGCGTTATCCAGCATCATTTTCTGACCAAGCAATACTTGTTTCAGTATTGCTTCTTAGAATATAAATTCCTGGTATATTATGGTTAATATCAAATTACAGTCCTTATATCCAAACCTTTCGTTACGGACTTGCAATCATTCTGTGTTTCTAACTGTTCATCCAGTTAAAACCAGCAATTGTTGAATGGACTTTAATAAAACATAATTTTAACCAAGGTGGAAAACGTTTTAAACATACGGCTCGTATTCATGGGTTGGGATCCTGGTTGGGATTTTGGTGACACACAGGTTTGAACCTGTGTTTTGAATTAACCGGGGTACAAATTTGTAATTTATGTTTACGTTTTACATACTCAATCACGCGGCAAATTTTTCTACAGTTGTATGAATTCGACATTTTTACGCATGTGCACACAGCGCAGAAACGCCTCTGTAGTTTTCTTCACTACTCGTAACTGGCTTGTCATTACAAACCACCTACCTATAACAACGCAACTAAAACATGAACCTCCATTATAGCAGATTACTGGTATTTGTTCTTATTTTTGCCCATATCCCACTCTTTGGCCTGCACAAATAACGTGGTAAAGGAACTACAAACTTACTTCTTAAAAAACGTTTAGCTTCTTCAACGTTATCTCTCTCACCATAGATCGTTACTTTATCCGGGTCTTGCGCTGAATCGATTACCACGGAAAATTTGGCACGAGCCTCCAAAATAACACAATTTTTCTTCTTTGGCAACATTGAGATGACCTCTTGGTGCATTTTTTGGTTTTGATTATGATAAAAGCTAATGAACTCATCCACAGTTTTGGAAAATGTATCTCTGCTCACATTCTTGCGGGCAAAAAGTTTCAATTTCCTGTCAGTCTTCGACTCAGAAACTTCAAAACTGATTTCTTGAGAAACATTTTCAAGCTTCTGATACTCTTCATAATGATATGCAATGATGAAGCGAAGAAACAGCGAACTGACAGAAAACGACTCGTCTGGTTCTTTAGTTTGCGCTGATTGGTCGGATGGATTTGCTCGATTGCCTTTTCCGTCCATACTATTCACACCTGTATTATTGTGCGGGAATATTCGATCATCATAGTTGTCAGGTGGCCAGATTTTTGAGACACTTTCAGATATGAAATCTTTAGTTGATGCCTACATAATTACCAATAATCAATATTAGCATAAATCTTGCATAGCAAATCAGCTTCACGCATTCTGACTGGCCAGTAAAACTGACGCAATATTTACCAGTCACACGCAAGAGGCTTTGGGCCCCGCGCAAGCTTGTTTCCGATTATTAAAGATGGCGTCGGGGTACTTGTAGAAAAATTCGAAACATGGGCCCATTTGCACTCCACTGATTTTTTTGTCATGCGTATATTTAAACATGCCAGTAGATCAGAGATTCTCTTGCTAGTTGTAAGAAAAAATGCCTTGTATAACACTGTAACATGACCTTCAATAGCCTTAGCGAATTTGTTCGATCGTTTAGTGAAAGAACAAGTTTGATCGTTTAGTAAATCGTGCCTTCAAAATCTGCAGTCCACTCTCCTGAACAATGAGTTAAAACAAATCCAAATTTCATGTCTTGGAATGTTTCCCTCGCAAATTACCCTCAAAACTTATTAATCAATTAAACTATCACCACCCGTATCTAATGACAACGACAGCGAAGCCAAAATGGCTGAAACAAACAAAACTCCTAAAATCTGGTTACAGCTACCATATCTTGGCAAATTTGGTGAAAGACTAACTCGTTCATTGATACACAAAATAACCCCTCTCTTCACATTAAAAGGCCGATTCATTATTAACTCATGGAAAACGATTAACAGCAACGTATTTGTATCATGCAAAGATAAAACCCAAAAAACGTTTTCAAAGCTCTGTTGTCTATGAATTTACTTGCCCTGGATTTAATAGTAAGAACATCGGCAAAACTAACCGCTGCTTATACACCAGAACTAAGGAACATTCATATCACACAGAATCTGTAATCCATCAGCCTCTCTACGTGCGAACACTTTCAACATATTAAAGCCTTTTAGAACTATATCCCGACTATGACGCTAAGTTTAATCAAACCAGCATAATGGCTGAACATGTTTTCCACAATATTAAAGTAATTGATAAATCTAATCATTGGTCCTTTTTGCTGTATCCGGAATCCCTCGCTATTCAAAAATATAAACCTGAACTTAATCATGGAATTAAAGCTTCTAAAGAACTAATCTATTTAACTAATTCATTAATAATCAACCTAATGTATCGTATATTTCTTCATTAAATACTGCTTTTGATGTATAACTTAGTTAATTAGTTTATCCAGATGATGACTGAAATATAGTCGAAACGTTGATAAATATAACTAGGGATCCAAGGATAGTGTGAAGTTTCAAATTGAAAATACACTGCAAGAACTATATCGCTGACAACCTAGAAAACCTGATGGCTTACACTACGAAATAAACAATTACCAAAGACATTTCATCTCATTATCTATTGCTCTTAATGCGCTCGGCACACGAGTAGCGTGACGTTTGAAACAAGCATAACACATCAGAAACGTGCCTTGTGAAACTGATACAATTTATCTATTTATTGTGATGCTACACGCTTTTATCTTCATCCGTTCCGTATTTTATCCGCATATCAGTTCCGTGGATCCGCTCCATCCGCTTCCGCATTTTAACCTAATTGTGACATGTTTCACAATAACAAGTCTCATTGACCTTTGACTTTTCCCAGTGTCACGTTGTGTCTATTTTCAGCTTCTCGCATGTGTTGAATAATGTCACTTTAGATTTCAATAGTTTCACAGTTATATAGTGTTTAAAGCAGTTTTGACAAGCTTTGATACAGTTCTGTGCACAGAATACTACAGATTGATTCTCGTAAAATTTGGTAGAGTTATCGTTGCACTGAACACGAGTTTGCACCGTTTGACAACGCCAACGCTAGACAGTATAAAACAAGGTCCGTGACAGTACACGTTGGCTACATGTACCTCCTTGCTTTTTCTTCCATTGCATAAAGCTTGTTGGCGAGCCAAGCGATTGGCGATAACACATTGGCGATAACACATTGGCTATCTCCTCGTCTTTCTTATTGCTGCCGAGCGTAGCGAGGCAGCACACTAATCTCTACACGTGGTGTGCTTACCACGTGACCGCCGAGTTTATAGCCGCTACAATCTCGATTTATGTCATTCTGTCATCCACGGACGGGCCAAAACTAGATGTTTTGATATTATTTTTTTGTTCCCGGGGGGGTTTGTTCACAACATGGCGACTGTTATAAACGGACAGAAATATAAAAATCATAAAAATAATGCGAATTTCCATAAAAATTCCGAGTAATATTTGTGAAGATGAATGGGTAAATAAAGCACGGTGTTATTTTGTGTCTCTGGCGCAAGAATGATCGACAATATTTTGAATAATCCAGGTAAGGATGGCTTTATTTCGTTCTCGTATAGTGATGTAGTCGTGCCGTGTGCCCTGTCTACCTGTCTGGTGATATATTTTATAATACATGAAGGCATTTATATTTAAATCTGCTGTTTATACTTGTTTAGTCACTTTAGTGTATTGAACTTCGATATAGAGGCATTGAAACAAAATGATTTCAAGAATATATCGGCAATTATAATACCCACTGAATCACTGATCTATTCCCGACCAAATCGACAGGAATGATTAATGCCTTTATGCTGATACAAGAAGCAAATGAACTTTTAGTTTATTTGTTTGTTATGTCACTTAATATGTGCAAAGCCAAAGGCGGTGAGTGTATAATAGTGTTCGGTACGTTCTGTTTCTAAATGTTTATAGTTTAAAAACAAACGCGGGATGTTGTTAAATCAGGCTTAACAAGATTCCTAGAGCTACCCAGTGTGGATTGCTGTCTGCATATATGGA